AGACGTAGCAGATTAAATATAGTGGTTGATGATGCCGCGCATTCAGAAATATACAACATCCTGAACACTTATACTCACCTGCAACTTTACTTACTTTGAAGTTGTATTTTTAAGTTTATGAAGTTTCTTGAAAACTGTCATGTGATTAGCAGCCGATTAACTTACCGCGGAATAAATTAGCGTGAAAATGACCAATGCTTCTGAATTTCCATTCGTTATCCAAGCTTGAAGTAAGCCTAGAGGTACTAGCAGCGCAACAGCAAGTACCAACACTCCGTGAATAACTGCCTGAAAGTGGTAAGATTTCCAAGAAAGCGAAGAGCAATTTGAGCTTTCCAGTAGAAAATTGGTGTTCTGATTTTGTATCCACTTTTTCAGGGTATCTTAATGGTCGTGATGGTTGAGTAGTGGTCAAGGTGCTTCCGAATAATTAAATAGTGAAAACGAACTGTAGTTATTTGGTTAATGGTGAGTAACTTATAGTAATGGTAATTTGTAAGAGGTACACTGATGTATGCGGAAATTTCGGCAGTCACTGTCATACTATTATAGCTACTATAGAAGGATGTGCATTGATTCATGGTCTGACCAGGAGGTCTGCGGTCTGACCACTTGGTTTGCTATCACACTCTATATATAAAGCAGAAGTTGTCTGTGTGTTTGTCGGACGGACCAATAGGAGAACAGGCTCCGCCCACAATGGGCGGGCCTATATTTAGCTGAGTGGTGTCACGGACGTAATCTTTTGAAAACGTTGTCAACAAAACGGGTTTGAGTAAAGAGTAAGCAGGTAGATAAACAGAAGGAGGCACACCCGAACTGGGAGCCTGCAGTCGAACCGCGTTTGTCTGGGTAAGGGACCAAGTAAAAATTTCGAGTCGGACCCGGAACCACCGGAGCAGCGGCAAACCGTGGAATAAGAAGTGGGTCGAGGTTGAATTGAAGGAGGCATACTTGAAATGGACTCACGAAAAAATCGAGTACCGACATTCCACCCCTCGCCTTTACGAAAATTTCACAACCATCCACTAGGGGGGTGTATACCAAAGGTGAAACTGACATAGTCTGGAACCGACCGGCTCTCAGTTTGGGTGGCCGGGAAGATCCGACTGGTCCGAAAAACAGAGGGAGAAATGATAGCGTTGTTATACATAGCAATTGGAAAGCATTGCCGCAGGAACTCTTCTGCTCAATAGTACGCAATCTAGTGGCGCTTTCTTTCTCTACTGAATAAATGTATAACATTCAACAATATCCAGATAAACAATCCAAAACCTCTGCCGCCCCTTTCGAGACATGTTCAGTCGATAGGTATACTCGAAATCCCTGAGATTGTGTGGGCGTGGCCGTATGCTTCGACTTAAAGACACATAGGTACGCTCAAACACATTGAGGGTGTATGAGACTATCAGCCCCCCAGCTGTCGATGTGTCGTGGTCCCCCCGCCCAAAACTGCACGGGGTCAGAGTACGGGGCCGTGGGAAAGTCGTAATTCCTTGCTACACCGCCCTTTCGCAAACTCACGTTTATGCTAACACCATCCGCGCGGC